TGCAGCTCCCTGAGGGGCAGCGCCACCACCAACCCCCACCACCCATGCTCACAACCACGACCGGAACCACACCCCCAACCAACACCCACACCCACATTAACACCTGGCCCCACCTAACGACCCACCTGCAGCTCCCTGAGGGGCACGGCCTCCACCAGCTCAAACACAAAGCACGGCGTCTTGGTGTCGGGGTCCCTCACAAGATCGCGCATGTCCACGATGTTGGGCCCCCCGCGCACGTGGCGCAGGATCTTGATCTCGCGCTTCAGCCGCTGCTCTTTGACCGGCCGCATGATCTTGACCACGCAGCGGCTGTTGTCGTCGCAGTCGATGCCCTCGAAGACCTCGCCGTACTTGCCCTTGCCCAGCTGCTGCAGGACCTGGGGCGGCGCGCGGCGGGCGGGGGCGCGGGCGTGGGCGCGGGCGGGGCGAGGGGATATGGTGCCGCGGCGACAGGGGCTGCAGGGCAAGTGCGTTTTTGTTCAAGTTTGTCGCCATGCGCGCGGGCAGGGGTGCGCGACAACCGAGCCTGCGGTGGTGCCAGCTGCAGACGCCCGAGCAAGGCGTCCGGCCCGCCGCGTGCCGGCGCGGCCGCGGCGCCTGGGCGACCGCGCGCGCTGCCTCTGGCCGCCGCCGGTGAGCTCGGGAGCCCACGCGGCCCTGGCCAACGGGTAGGGAAGGCTGCCCCTGCCTCGTGTTTTGCAGGGCGGGCTGGCTGCCCCCTCACCTCGTACTTCTCCATGGCCCCCCACTCAATCGGGCACACGTCGTTCCAGTACTCCTTGGGCTGCATGGCCGCCACATCGGGGTAGCAGCGCGCCACCGTGCGCAGCGCGCCCTTTTTGCGCAGCGACTTGGGGTACTTTTTCGGGGGCGCCATGGCTCGACGCGTGCCGCTGCTGTTGCTGCTGCTGCTGCTGTCGCTGCTGCTGCTGCTGTTGCTGCTGCTGCCGCTGCTGCCGCTGCCGCTGGCAGCCGCCGCCGCCGGTGGGCGGCCCTAACGCTGCCGGCGGCGCGACGCTTCGGGGAGGGCAGTGGGGGTAGGGAGCCTGGCAGCGGCCGCCGGGCACGGCGGCTCAGGGGCAGGAGGCTGCGGTGCCCACGCGGGGAGGCCGCCGCTCCTGCGGAGCGTAGTAGGGAGGGTTCCGGCGGTTAAACAGGACCGCTATCGCGTGTTGAACACCATACAGGCGTAAGGTGCAACCCGCAGGGTGCTTGCGTGTGCCGATGGAATGCCGCCGCTCATGCCGGGGCGGCCGCCACCGCCTCCGCGCGCACCGCTTGGCGGGGCGGGGCAGGGGTCGACGGCGCATTGCTGCAGAACGAAATGCGGCTCACCTGCGCGTTCTATACCCTGTCCAGCACCGCCCGAGGGACCTTTGCAAGCTCTGGGACCTTGCCAGCACAAATCAGCTCCTTTCCGGGCACTCGGAGGGCGCTGCTCTGTGCGATGGCAAGTGAGCTTTGTCTACGCCGCAGCCGCACGGAGGAGTCCTTCGCTGGCTTGCCGCACTATGGCCAAAACCCAGTGACCCTGCTGGCAAGTGCACGCCAAGCTCCGGTAGGCTTTTATGGCGGGTTGGAAAGCATGGACGTCAGTAATCTTGTGCGACTGTTCACATATAGCATCGCCTAACAAGCACGCTCCAGATCAAACCTGCATTTTCGAAGGTTTCGTCAGCAGTCGCGCCTTGGAAGCGCATCGATTGGCTTATGGGTGCCCGAGTTGCCTCAATTCATCGCAGCTAAGTTATAGGCGGTCTAGCAGGCCACGCACACCCGCATTGACAGCAGTACCGTACACCGGCGCGCGCATCGCAGCACCGCTCCGGCATGGCGCAAGTGCTCGACGGCATTGTCGAGCAGCTGAAGCGCGCGCTCGCGGAGCAGCAGCAGCAGGTCGCATGCGAGCGCGAGGCCGTCCAATCGGAGCGGGAGCAGCTGCGGCGCGAGAGCGAGCAGCTTGAGCGCGGCCGCGTCAAGGTCAGTGCCAGCTGCCGCGTTCTGCACATGCGTGCCGCGGGCGGCGGAGCCGAGGGCGAGGGCAGAGCAGGCATGCTGAAAGGAGAGCGGCAGGCTCGGCACCGTGGCCGCGGCGTCTCTGAATCCTCTCTCGCGCAGCACACAGCAGCCGCCTCACGCGCAGACCCCGGCCGCTGCGGACGCCCCGAATCGGCTTCAGCCCCACCCCGCCGCCCCGTCCGCCGCGGCCGCTGCCCTCGACCCGCCAGGTGGCCGAGGGGGATATGGTTGAGCTGAATGTGGGCGGCCGGCTGATGACGACGACACGCCGCACGCTCTGCCTCGTGCATGACTCACTGCTGGCCACCATGTTCAGGCGAGCGGCTGCGCCGCGCGGGGGCGTCGCGCCGCGCCCCGCTGGCGGCGCCCCGCACCACGACTTCTTGGTTTGCTGGCGTCTCCGCACACCCCCTGCAACGCTGTTACACACCCTGGCGCCCTGCTGCGACGCCGCGCACCCGCCTTCCTCCACCCGCACGCCTGCAAGCAGCGCCCTCTCACAGAACCAGCGGCCCCTCTTTCACGGCCCACTGCGCTCGCCTCGCC